TTTTCTTATTTTTAGTGTAAATTGTCTTGGCAAGATGTCTCTATTACCTCCTCAATTTAAGAACAAATGCACTGATTTTAAGATAAAATGATTTGGTTAGATTTCACACTGGGAAAACAATCTAGAAACAAGTTAAAATTTCTTAAATTAACTGTATTTGTCCTTAATTTGAGTAGGTAAATGAGATAGTTTGCCAATGGAATGAGTATTTTTACTCTTAAAAACAGATAATTATATACTATGCACTTGAAATAAAACAATGGAATTGTGTTTTCTTATTTTAAGTGTAAATTGTATTGTTCCATTGGCAAAATGTCTCTTTTACCTCCTCAATCCAAGAACAAATGCACTTATTTTAAGAAAAAAATGACTTATCTAGATTTGGATTTTTTCCAGTGCAATTTTTTTGCTGTGCAAACTTGCAGGATACAATTTTGTCTTGAAGATTTTAAAGGCTTAAAATGAATATTGATGTTTGGATGATTGCAGGAGGATGTTGTTATTTTTTTCTTTAGAATGCATAGTCGTCCAAAAAATTTTTAAAAATGCAGATTGGTGAATCTCTTTAATGAAAGGCACAAAATTAGAATAAATAAATAAATATGTGAAGCCAAACATAACAGTTAAATAAGTGTATTTCTCCAGCCTCACCTGCCTCAGACTTCTTTGCATATTTCTTGCTCTGTCCTCTGATGATGAGGATGAAAACCAGCAGCAGGATGAAGATGAGTCCCACCAGCGCCACGACGACCAGGAACCACCACTCCTCATAAAACGGGGCCACTTTCTGAGCTGAAAGAGAAGTGGAAAATTGGAATTCACGCTTGTTAGAAATGTGCGAGTCATGTTCCTGTGAAGTCTGGAGGACCTTGGGAACATTTTTGATTAAGTTTGAAATTTAATTTAATTCACTTCATTCAGTTCCATTAACAAACATAAAAAAAACTTACCAGATATAGAGGGTGAAGGCATGCTTGGAGAGCCGTAGCCGTAGTCGTTCACTGCGATTACCCGGAAGTCATAGCTGACGCCTTGTTTAAGTACATCCATGTTGAATGTGTGTGATGTTGCATCCTTTGGGATGTCCTTGATTATAATATCCCACAAACCTTCATCTGCAACAGAGGGGGAAACTTCACTTCAATCCAAATGCAGACGGAAACGTCCATTTAAGCGCTACAGCTTTCAGACCCGGCGACAGCTTCGCTGCCAACATGTTTGTTTCTTTTTGATATAAAGCACTTGGCTAGCCTACAGCTCTCTGGGTTAATTGATAATTCCTTCAAATATTACACAATCCATCAATTTTACGGCTCTCGTAAAAATTTACAGAGGCTAAATCAGCGATACAAATGGCGGCGTAGTCATTTTTCAAATGAAGCAGTTTGCTACGGACATCTTGCCATAGTTTTTTTATTACGTGTCAGTGCTAGTAAATATTAGTGTAAACTGTGATCGTTTTAATAGGATATATAAACACAAACGTTAAACAAACTGGAGC